CCGCCGCCCCCTACCTCCTTCCGTCCCGTTTCCCCCCAGGCCGCAGACCTCTCGCTTTCTGTCCCCCCGGGCCTTCTTATCCTGTCATCTCATCGCGATGCTGACACACTCTGACAAGCACACATCTCTAGTAGTGATATTTCTCCTCACCGCCATGCAGTGCACTCCTCCCTGCCCTCCATCGCCTTGCACTGCACGGGTTGTATGGACTGCTCCCCCGCTCCACAAGACGAGCTCGCACCAACTGAAGAGCTTGCATCACCTTACTCTTTCGCCTTGGTCATCTGTCACCTCAACGGCTTGGCATGTTTTCACCAGCATTCCCGCTTCCCGCTTGCTTTTAAAACATACTCGTTTTTGGTAAACACGCTTGCCATGCTGACACTCTCCTATGCCAGACTATTTGTGTAGGGTGGACTACGGAACCGCCTGACTCTTCGGCTATACTGTACCGCACCGCCCATGCATGCGTTCGGGTTGCCTATTTGCTTTCGGATTTGAGGCGCCATTGTCAGCGTCAGCGGCTAAATCCGCACGCACGCCAGCATGCGGTACACTATAGCCAGCAGGGTCTTGTTCGCCACCCTATCTCATTTTGATCTTTTACTGAAATTACTTGATGCTATGGAGAACCGTTTTTCGTTGAAACGCTGTTGTGTAACGCCTTTCCGGTTTGGTCGCAGGGGTGTCTTTGTACGCATCAAGGACAAGAACCTCCACGTAGAGTGCTTCAAGTGTGCCACCTGCGGCACCCCCTTGAAGAACGTGGGTTACTACAACCTCAACCACAAGCTGTACTGCGACATCCACGCCAAGATGGTGGCGCGTCAGAACCCACCCGCGCCCAACCTGGACCCCGTCACCGTGCCCCCGTACGGACCCATTCTGTAGACACCTGAAGTATTCCAGGCGTCAGTTCTTTCTCAACTGGGCAGTCATCGATATGTTTCTTTTCACGCGTTCTTCTTTGCCCCCTCTCGCAGAGGCGCCCGCCCCCCAGCGGGGACCATCTCGAACGCCCTGGCCGGTCTGGGAGTGACGGCCGGCCCTCCTGCAGCAGCGCCCCTCAGCCCCTCTGGAGGCCTTTCCCCGCAGCCCGGCATCGGAGGGCCCCTGCCCTTCCACGTAAGTAGTGACCATCGCACCTGCATTATACCGACTGACGGAGACTTTAGTTCAAACTACCTTTGCGTTTGTTGCAAATTCCATGACCCTTCGTTATTGTTCGTTTGGATGGAAAAGTGTTACTCCTGTCCCCTCCTCTTCCTGCGAAACTCCAGTATGCTCCCCTTTCAGAGCGGCCCCTGCCCTCTCCCTGCTAGCTCGGCAGCAACCTCCGTGACAGCTGGCCCCGTACCCGCACCCCTGCAGCCCCATTCCTCCGACAAGGCCCTGGCCCAGGCACTGGCGTGCCTGGAACAGGAGCTGGAGAACCAGTTGAAGGAGCTCTCGCTCCCAACGACGGCCCTGGAGCCGCTGTCTGTGGAGGAGCTGACAATCCAACCGACAGCTCAAGCGGCCCACCACGCCGCCGTGCCCGTGTTCGTGCACAAGGTAGCCGCGTCGGGCGCTCGCGCACGCATGCCGGTGGTCGTGCACAAGGTAGACACCAATCGGGCGCACGTGCACGCTACGGGGGGTGTTGGGGTGTTCGTGCACAAGGTAGCCGCGTCGGGCGCCCGCACACGCATGCCGGCGGTCGTGCACGAGGTGGACACCAATCGGGCGCACGTGCACGTTATAGGGGTGCTGAGGTGCTCTGTCTTCTGACTGCTGTGCGGCGATACTCCTTGTGCGTGGGCGCCACCCCCGTGGGGGGTATCCTCATCCTCGGAACGGCGGGCGGGCAGCTGCACTGCACTGCTCAGACCCGAGGAAACCGTCGATCGCAAATGTTCTTGGGGGAATGCCTTCAACAGGCAGGGTCGTCGCTTGCAGCTTCATCTCCTTGGAGGTCACGGGGTGTCCTCGCCTTCCTCCCGGGTGGGATCGTCCAGAAAGTACGTCCCCGCTTTTTATCGGATTCATTCGGCAAATTACGGAAGCTTGACGCCTGCGAGACGCAGGGTAGGCCACCCCGTAGTACGTGCATGCATTGCAGGCAAGACTTAGCCTATCAGGCGATATAAGAGCTTGCGGAGGCTGATCCGCCTCAACTTGGTAGGTTTGTTCCGGCGAATGACGGACGTACTTTCTGAATGATTCTCTATCTACACCTGTCCCCTTCGCTTTTGGGCAGACACTCGCGGATTCCTTTTCCAGAGAAAAGGGGGGGGGGGGCGGTCAGCTGGTAGGCCTGGCGCTGCTGGCTGCTGGTCAGCGCAAACGGCTGCCTGGACGGACGTCCACGCGGCGCGGTCAGCACAACGGTCAGCAACGCCCAGAGGTCTTGCTCGTCAGCTTTTTGCACGAGCTTTCCTCCTGACTTAGCTCCGAAATAAGCAAATTGTCTCTCCCTTCCTTTCTCCGTGTTTCTATCGTCATTGTCGTTTCTTACCCGACACTTTTTTCCTCCGTTGTTCACTATTATGACTATTATAGTTGCACTCTATGCATGCCATCAATCCTGTCTGCACGCCAAAGGGTATACCTAGATTTCTTCTACCTTCTCATGTACAAAATCATACTCATTTTGAGTTGAGTACCGGACCGGGTGCATCAGAATGGTCGTTACAATATGTTGCGGGTTTGCCTACTCCCTCCGCCCGTAAGGCGCCATGGCCAGCACGGTCTAAAGGGGTATGCAATCTCGCATCACTGCATCGTCTGCTCTGGTACACCCGATAAATTAGGGTGAGCCATCAACCAAATTTTGGTCGCGAAGTGCGAGGGTTTCCGTATCTCGGACTTTTCCAACGGTGGTGCATTTGAAGGGTAATTTGATGACATTTCAAATGCTCCATTGTTTAGCAAAATTCGAGATGGGTAGGGTGCACTACGCACCTCGCGACCAACGCTTGAGGGCCGACCCTACGGTACCAGTACCGTGGGTCAGGACTGCGACACAATAGTATTGCGGGTTTGCCTACTACCCTATACGGGCCATACGTATGGACCGAGTAGGCAAAAACGACATCCTGTTGTGTCGTAGCCCCGACACACGGTACATCTATCATGATGCATGCACCACTAGTAATAGAACCAGGCATCAGCATGTAAGGAGTAAACAAACAGCCTCCACAAGAAAGTTGTCTGCCGCATGCGGCATGTGCCATTCGATGGCAGCCTGGCACTAGAATGCTCCTACTTAGAGCTTTATTTTACTCTCTCTCTCTTTCTGGCCTGCCATGTCAGCACGTGTATGTAGCGCTAATGATGTGTTACAGGCCCCTCGCGTTGGAACGTCGCATGTGAACGCACCCAAGCCGCAGGTAACTAAAAAAAACAAAAAACAAATACGCTCGAAAGCAGTCGCACCCTAAACAGCATGCTGCTTGATTTGTATCTGCATGTTCAGAATTATTGTCCCTTCACCCCCTCGCTTCTTGTATCGTGACAGGGTTGATCCCGTCTTTGTTGCAGACGCCGAGCAGCATCTCCGGCCCCAGGCCGTTCGGTAGCCCCATCGCCCCTTCGGCCCCAGCACCGGTGTCCGCCCCGCTCCCGTCCAACTCCTTTGGCAGACCAGCTACTGGTGAGTGTGCCCCAGCAGCAGCCAGGGTGGCTGGGTGGAGTCAGATGAGTTGCCTACCCCCAGGGCGTCTCGCCCCGCTCTCTGCAGCCGGGGCGTTTGGTCGAAGCAAGGTGACGACGAGGGACCTCTCTCAACCTTGTTTGCCGCGAGTCAGACAGATTTTATTGAATGGGTGCCAAAAGAACAGCTGTGAACCACGGCAGAGACTATCGTCATTCCATAAGTTTTTGAGACACTGGGGCAATTTAAGCTCAGCATTGCTAGCTTTATATACAAAGTTGGTCAGAAATCGAGCTTCGCCCAGCACGACAGCGCACTGTTCCCTGTGAGATAAATTTCTCCATTGTCAGGCGCGCTAAAGGAGCGTGTCTACGTGCAGCTCGCAATTGTATGCCGCCTTTAACACTTGGCGAGCCTGGACCTTAGCCAGGACGGTGGAGGGGGCGTGCTCTCCAGCGCGCTGTGGGGGTGGAGGTAGAGGTTTCTTCAAGCATGTGTCTCTTCAACTCATTCCTCTCATTCATTTCTTTCCTCTTCTTATTTTACGTATTATTTCTGTAGTTGTTACTTATTTTTAGTTGATCGATATTTCCCACTGTGTCGTTCTAAAAAGTGCCTGTTATATTTTTGTCCATGTTCAATGTATCTTCAGGCCTTCTATGGTGTCGTAGATTCGTGTCCTTTATGTCCTGTGAAAACTATTATCTTTCAAATGGCTGTGACTATGTGTTTTTTGGGGGGTGCCTGCCTTGCGCGGCCCAGGTTTCTCCCCGTCCGCAGGTTACACCCCCTCGTCAGTGTTCGCACCTTCCTCAGGGTTCGCCCCTTCTGCGACCCCTTCGGGCCTCGCCTCCACTTTGAAACCGCTCACCAAGCTGCGAGGTAACAGGGAAGACCGGCAGAAGGAGAAACATGCTAGCTGAGTTTGGCCGCCGGAGGGAGAGAGAAAAAGACAAACTGAGACGCAGCTTGTGTGTGTGGTGTGTGGTGTGGCGTGTCCAGCTGAGCGGGCACACCGGGCAGACCCTGAGGCAGAGCCCTGCGGTTGCACCTCCTTCTTTGCAGCCAGTGCCTTTGCCCCTCCTCGCCTTGCCTCTCCAAGCCTCGCTGGTTTGTCTTCAGTTCACGTTACATTGACCTCATATCACGAAATTTCAAAA